TTAGGGTTCAGGGTCTAGTTTGGGGCTTGTGGTCTGGGACATGACGATTTCAAAGACGATCCATCATTGTGTTGGGATTCTGAAGGAAAAGCTTCCTGGTTCTTAGTAGCGAAACCAGGAATAGAATCCCAACATAATCCCTCTAAAATGTATTCCTATATTCCCTAATAAGTGAAAGTATCGAAGCTTCAATCAAGTTTCTACAAAATTTGGAACCAAGGGAGCAGAGGCAATTTGCCTTTTCTGTGAGATATGGTGGAAAGAGGAAATCTTGCTCTACCTAGGATCCCCCAAAAACCCTGAAATTATTGGGCTCCACAGTATGCCCTGAAATCCTCAACCGCTTCTCCTCAGCCTCTGTAGGTTCCCCAAAACGGTGCAGCCCCGAGCCCAGAACCTGAAAGGCTGGACCTTTAACCGGCCTCTTAACTCAACCTGGACCCCACAACTATGTAAAATCATGGCCTCATGGCCTTTATGGCTATTTAGGAATACCTGAAATCCTGACCCAAAATCTTGACCCTCATCCCTCAACACAGAACGCCTACCCCCCAACACCTAAAAACTGTAACTTGAACATTTGAGCCAACACTGCCTAGACCTCTATACCCTACCTCTTTTTTGGGGAACCCAATTCTGTGCATATCGAAGATACCAGACACAAAGCAAGGTATCCTTAAGAAGGGGTAGGGTATAGGGATCTAGGTACACTGAGCACAGCTCCTTCGTGGTCGAGCTGGAGGAAAAGGTTCAGGATGTCACTGAGATCATCGCTGTCGCAAAGGCCACGGCGCACCAGCTCCTTATTAGGGCCTAAGTACCCACTATNNACCCTAAACCCTAAACCCGAAGTTGTTGCGCCTTGTTCATGTTTTCACGGTGATCCTTCCACAGGTCATCAGCTTGGATCATCTCGAAGGGCTGGTTAATGGCAGAGAAAAGGACCTGAGTCGGGCTCCCTTACAGTTTACATGGGTCCCAAAATTACATCACATTCCCTGGATGACTAGATGGACCATGAACTTCTGAGGATTCAATGCAGCCCCCAACCCGTGTGTTTTTGGGCTCAGGGCTTACATGCGGCTTTCGCCAGACTTGAGCCTCCATAAGGACCAGGGTATGAGCGGTTCAGGGGTTAGGGTTTCCGGTTTAGGGTTTAGGGTTTAGGGCGTCTCGCCGCGCGGCGGCTGAAGGTCACATGTAGATATGGCGCCCCGACACACCCAGGGGTGTGGGGGGGCGGCATATC